AACGCTACCTATCACATGATCGTTTCTTGAAGAAATTTGTCAGAGCAAGTAAGTTTTATTGTTTAAAATAACAAATGAGGTAATATTGGCAAAATGGTCTGAAAAACCACAAGGTTTTTTCCCCTCCAAAATGCCAGGCAAACTCAGTTTTATAAGATGACAAATTAAAGAATTTCACCGAAGGAAACTAAAAAAATACGGAATAAAGATAAAATATAGCAAAAATGTGCCATTCTTTAGATGCTATGTTGCCATGGCAACGGCCTCCACGAAAAAAGTAACAACCTATAAATAACTGTAATTATATCAGTTTCCTTACTGGTAAATATCGGGAACAAAAAATCAAAGACAAAATAACTGGGGTTTCCTTTCTAACTCATGTCAGTTAGTGTAGGTCATTGGTAAATATCCTAGGGAGTCACCGTAAAGCTTTTTGTTCAACCTTGATACTGAACAACTAACATAACATGACATGACCTGACCTGACCTGACCTGACCTGACGTGACGTGACGTGACGTGACATGAAATGACATGACGCGACATGACATGACATGACATGACGCGACATGACATGACATGACATGACATGACATGACATGACATGACGCGAAATGACATGAAGGCTTTATTAGTAGTATTTCCACTAGGTGGCTCTTCGCCTACTATCTCTTGGCAACTATCTCTTGAAGAAACGACTTTTGAAATAGGGAATATTTTACAGCTGTCTTTTAAATATATTCTGAGTCAATTGGTAGGAATATGGAAAATATGTTGAAATAATTCTACATTTTTCAGCAAAAATAGGCGAACAAGAAAAAATAAAACTTTTCAAAACTCTATTACACATATTGCTTTTTTATGGCTTATACCAAAAGATCAGAGGATGAGCTAAGAGAATCATTCCCCAGTTCATAGCTGAGCTATTCTAAGAGCGCTACCTGATTGGTCAGTTTGAGTAATGTGCCGTGTCGGAGCCTCGATCAGAAGGAAATAAAAATAACTTTCACAGCTTGGCACGAAGTTATTAATAGATTTCAAAAACTTCTCATGGGGAACGGGGAATACCTCTCTTAGATCATCCACTCTTGCTTATACACAGGCACTCACTGCAACCGGCACTGCAACCCTTTTCGCAATCCTACTATCTCCCTTAAGGTCATTCCATCGAAATAGAACTTACAATAGATTTTCATTCAAATTTTTCCTATTGGTTGTTTATGTTATGGGAACTTTGAAATAAAAAGGGGATCCCGGTATTCGTTTAGGAGCAGGCGGACCTTGTATATACCCCATAATTCCTTATAATATCAGCTTCCAGAAACGTTTTTATTAGTTTAGTTCACGTTTCAGTGATTATTTATTATTCTGCAATAGAAATTAGTCTATATTTATTTTATAGAAAGAAGGTGATTACTAGACTCAAAATAAGAGAAAAAATGATAGGTCACCGTACTCGTTTACGAGAAAATGACGATTTATCTCTCTGGCGAGCTTAGCCATAAGGAAAAGCCGCCATTTTCTTTATGCGCGCGCGCTAATTACGTGTGAAATCATGCGTAGTAAGGATGCGCAATGCAATACTAAGGAATCACCTTAATACGAATACCTTGCTGTTCTCGTTTTTGTTACAGGCGACTTTTGAGGGCTGGATGGAATTAATGGATGATGCAGTAGATTCTAAAGAGGTTACCGTCGATTTCAAATACCTTATTCATGAATTGTAGAAAATAGCCCAACAAGTAGTTGTTGTCACAACAGCATAGCACGTCATGTTGCTTTTAAAACCGTCTCTGACGAAAAATCAGGGCTCAGTCAGTGAAGCTAGGCGGGATTCTGGTTATTAAAGATACCACAAAATTCCGAGGATAATATAAGCCCTAGGTTCAGTTTTGGTGGTTTTAGTACTTATTTATTTATTTATCTATTTATTTATTTATTATTATCTATTTATTTATTGAGAGGGAGAGGAACTTATTATCTGGGGGAATTTTGCTTTTCATAAATGGTCGGGAATATTTGCAAGGGACTTTGCGTCTGAAAAAGGTTAGGTTCACGTAAGAATGCTGCATGATTAAACCCGCTACATTATAACATTATGAAACACAAAACAAGGCGCTTATTATTGGGATTTTACGATACCTCACTTCAAAAATATTGCGGCGATTTCTCTTGGGGTCACTTTCATGTTCTTGCCGCATTTGGACGTCATGCATCTGTGCATTCTACAATTGTACAAACGCGCAACCAGGGGGGGGGGGGCAGGCAGCCCTTTGATCTTGCCGCTTTTCCGCTATACATGATCGCACAAGTAAAGAAATCTGTCAATCATTCGAGAAACGTACCTCTAGGGGAGTTTGCTGTGGAATTTTCATCCATGGTGTCCCACAATGACCAAAGTTCAGTTAAACAGCGACCGAATCGTTCCCATAGATGTTTGAACGTGGAATCGCCAAAATATTTCTGAACGAACACAAACGCACATCATATCCGCCATCGTCCGCCATGTTTATTTTAAACAAACTAGTACTTAGTCTCGCTCGGCCAAATTTCTTAAATGTGCAATCATGTATACTAGGTCCCAGGCCTCGCTGCCAGCCCCCCCTGCGCACAACGAAATGGAATCTACTGGAATCTATACGTACGATAGGTGAATACGAATTAGAAACTCTTCGATTTAATCCACAACGATTTGGTCAAATCAACACTTGTTACCTCCGACGGTATGAAATAAAATAATTTATGATTTTTGTGCTCACTTCAGGTGGACGAGCAGCCCTCGGACGAGAGTTATCTCGGCGCGTACATTTTCTTTGTCGTCTTTATTGTGGTCGGCGCGTTCTTTGTGCTGAATTTGTTTGTCGGAGTCATAATCGACAATTTCAACAGTTTAAAGAGGAGGGTGAGTAACCTGGGAGGCTAAGAGATGTATCTACGAGAAATTGTTTTCGCTCTAAGTGAATATATTTAGCCTGCGAGCTCGAGGTTTCTATCGGCTAAATAGTTAGCCTGAGATCCGGCTCCGAGAGAAATCGCCGAGCGCGGACTGGGGCTGGAACGAAGGCGACCCGTCGCCGACAGGGCTGAATAACGTCTGCGCATGCCCCAAGCGCTTGCCAGGAAACCATAGCAACAACATAGGTAAAATGGCGGAATTTTCAAAAATACGAAACACTGCACATGTTTTCGCCTAGGATAAGAGTTTGCCTGTAAAGTTAAGCTTTAAAATCTTGCAGTGGATCCGCCTGTTACTGAGTGAAAACATATCTTTTGAACACCAGGGTTTTTTTTCTGAACACTCGCTGAAAAATAGCCACGAAGTGCCTCACGATGTCAGAGTCCGCGACAATGCAGAAACGAAGCAGTAATGATATACTCATGTTTTCTCGTATTCCACGGCATTTCATGGCGAAAAATCTTCGATGTAAACTCGTGTGTGTTCAAATTATTATTTGCGAAAGTAGGAAAAGGAAATATTCCCATTTTGGAGCGGAAATAAAAGACATTTATCTCTCCTTGCCGTCGTGATTCAAAACCACACAACAACACGTTCGCGCCAAAAATTTGCTATTGCTGTCACGAAATCCCGCACATGCGCAGACGTTATTCAGCCCTGCTCCCGTCGCCTTAACCCGTCGCCTTCGTTCCCGCCCCAGTCCGCGTTTGGCGATTTCTCTCAAAGCCTGATCTCAGGCTACTAAATAGTTGACGAGAGGCGAAACCCCGAGGCAATTATCAAAGTCGTTAGAAACCGACAGCGAGCCGTCTAATTGGTTTAGCATAACCCAGTGGCTGATTTATTGAACATAGAATATCGATTCGAAGTTTTGACGATGTTGTGTAATATTTTTCGGCCGTAATGTACGAAAATCTAAGCGCGCGCTTCGAGAACCTTCTCGATAGTAGGTGCCTGTGTAGCCAATCAGATTGCGAGTTTCCAATAGTCAGGTTAAGATAAACAGTGATAGTCAATATCAGAATTATAAAGTAACATTTTGGTGGTTTCTCATAGTTCTTTCCTTCCAACAGTTAAACCATCCCCATTTCAGAAATCCACAACTAATCTGTTCATGTATTATATCAGCTATTAAAAAAACAAACTTTTTTATGATTTCAAAGTAGCCCAGTGTAACTATCTGAGACTTCAACAATTCAACAATATGGGATTTATATTTTAGTACGATGAGCTAAGTTGCATGGGAATGCTGCTGACTGACGCACAAAGGAAGTGGGTTGACATCTTAAAAGAGTCCGCCAAGAAGAAACCACCCGATGATTCCATCAGGCCAAAGGTAGGCCTTTGTAGGCCTTTGTATGCGGTGGTAATAACCTTTTAAACAGTAGCTATTACGCACTTTTAATGATTATAACAAGTCGACAGTTCTCCCTCGGAAAACGAAGCAAAATAAGTTTATTAGTTGTTAGTTGTTTTCCCTCGAATGTCGATATTTTTCGAGACGATCCCAGGCCAACTAGGCCATTTCCGAGTTGCCTTTTGCCTCTGCCTTAAAACGAGTCCTTCTGCACAACCATTCAAATAATAATGAGTTTGATCAGTTTGCATTTGCATGAAACTGTTTTCATATGAGAGGTTGAGCACCAGGACGCGTAACAGTCAACTCTGAAATGCCCTTTTATGGTAATGGTATTTATATAGCGCATTTTCCAAAGTTCAAATGCGCTTTACAATTCCACTCAGGGGTGAGATCAGACATCAGCTTGTAAAGGCGCCTATTGCGCCAGCAGCCTTTATCAGTCCATTCATGATCTCACCCCACCCACCCAATCCATGAATACATGCGAACAGGTCAGACCGGCATCACCGGGGACTACGTCCCATACTCTTTTCGAACAGTGATGTGGGTTCTTTAACGTCCCCTACTAATTAAGTATGAGAAGGTGTAGGAGACAAGGCCAACGGCTTAACGTCACCGCCCAATAACGCGATCATCTGAACTGAGACTAGGTATTAAGTGCAGTCAGCGTGATCTTACCTGGTTTGTGGTCCGGCCGGGATTCGAACCCGCAACCTCCCGCTGCTCTGCAGTCTGGCGCCCAACCAACTGAGCTAACCTGGCGGCGCAGTTATATGGAGTTGTATCTCGCGTGACCGCAAAACAACCAATGAAAGCACGCTTTAGATTGAACTTAACTCCTGCACAAAGTTATTCCAAATCGGTGGTTATTTGTCCTGGGGGGGAGGGGGGTGATTTGTCCGGTGGGTAGCGTTATCTACCCTTTTATATTTTGTATAATGTTGTAATGTAGTTTTCCTTTGCACAGAATAAGGTACTGAACATTCTGTACAACATTGTGACGAATGACATGTTCGAGATGTTAATACTGGGGATCATTGTGCTAAACATGTCAGTAATGATGTGGCAACATTATGGCCAATCAGAGATCATCATAGCTGCTCTTCATATCCTTTCACATAAATAAACATAAAAATCGGGGGGGGGGGGAGGGGGGGGGAGGAGGCTGTAGTGGTATACTGTATACCTTAAGGCGGAGTTAACCAGAATGCCATTTTCCCGCCACTTAACATGGGTTTAATGGAAATATCTCGTTCACGTTTCAAGCAATCCAAAAACTCTATGCTCAAAACATGAATCTATGTTATGCGGTGTTTTGTAAATTTTTGGGTGATTTTGGGGTATTTTTGGGAGGAAATAGTTTTTTCTCAAAGGAGTTGTAAAATTTAGGGAAATAAGAAATATTGAAGATTTAATGTAGTTTTAAAATTACAATTTGGAGTTAAAAATTAGTAAATGGACAACAACAGACAGTTGATACCCACGCAAGAGCACCCGCGTGGGTATCAACTGTTTGTTGGTGTTCCAAAAATCATTTTCTTTCTTCTATTGTAATCACCGTTTACCACCGCCTTAAAAGCTACCCAATATACCCAAAACAAGAACACTGCAGAAGAGAACATATGCTCTAGATCAAGGATAAATGAAAGGGGCTTAAACTTGATATATATTTGAGTTATCTCCAACATATACCAAATACCCCCGGGGGGGACTCCCATAGTGACGGGGTGATCGTCGGAAATTTTGAAAAGAACCCCTAAAAAGTACCAAAATCTCGTTTGGTGGGTGTGGCACAAATTCATTTTCACCCCTAAGAGGTACCGATTCTAAGACAAAACTAGTTCCTGTCATATTGTTCTCCTGAAAAATACCCTAAAAGGTACCGGAATAACTCTAATGGTAGACATTTTAGATTTTAGCACCCTAAGCGGTACCAAACGACGCATTTTAACCCCTAAAAGGTACGACGATCACCCCCGTCACTTTTATATGGAAGAAGTTTCCCTCCGGGCCAAATACCCATATTTCAGCGTAAAAATACTGTATACCCAATTTTTAAAAAAACCCTTGAATGTCGTATACATGTTCCCTAAAACCCCTGAAGGTCGTATACATGTACCCCAAAACCCTTGGCCGACCCTGAACAATTGTTGAAATAAATTAGACCTTAGTAGTGATTTATTGGAGTTTAGTATAATGGACCTTTTTATACTGCGTCTTTTCGTATTTTTGCAAGTTTATGGACCTTGCCTTCAGGTCGGTCCATCTCGAACAATATTTCCACAATACGGACCGAACAAGCCAGTTTAACGAACATTATTTATTTATGCACGGTCTGTGTTTTAAAGCTTGCAGCTTTTGGAGCCGTTAAAATGAAACAAATATTTCAAATGATTACAACATTGTTTAGAATCCCAAGTTGAAGGAGTCTAACCAGTTGGCTCAGTATTCACTTGGCGTGGCCGATCGAGGAATAGACAATATTCGTATCCCCACGGTTGGACTGGAACTAGCTTGCAATTGAGGCTCATGCGGGGAACTTTTCAAATGCAAATATTTTTTAGTGATATTTCCCCGCATGAGCCTCGATTGCAAGCTAGTTCCAGTCCAACCGTGAGAATGCGAATATTGTCCATTAAACTCCGGATTTTTTAAGACCAACGCCCTAAACTAATGTGACTCGGCCTCGCTAACTAATCTAGGCGATTTAAAGGGCCTATGAAGCGAATTTTTTTTTTTAGAAATAAAGACATTTGGGTACCGAAATTTAAAAAATAGAGGTGGAATTCGTTAGAAAAGTGTAAAAAAGAAATTATATGGTCTCAAACATCCCAAATTTTCCGTAACTAAAGGGGACACATTTTTGGTAGACTGGGTACGAGTTAGTTCGCGTTATGACGTCACAGGGTTTGCACGAGGTTGTTTACCAGACGATCGTACAAAGAACAAGCGGGCTTTTGACCTTTCCAAAGGATGTCAGAAAGCGATTCCAACTCCGCTAGTTCTCCACTGTATCTATTGACTTTTAAAACTGGCGCGAGATATGTGCAAACCCTGTGACGTCATCAAATCAAAATGGCCGCGCGAGCAAATGTCTCCCACGACAGCGTGTCTTTGCGAAGGTCGAGGGGAAAAGTAAAGGTACGATGGAAAAAATTAACATTCAAAACATTATCAGTAATACCATAGGACTATTTTTGGCAACTTTTTCATTTCGTTTCATAGGCACTTTAACCATATTGACACAAGATCGCGAGAATCGAGGAAATGATCACCGAAAGCAAATTCTCCCTGCTAATACTATAGAAAATGTATGGTGACAGCTAGGAGAATTTGTATGTTGATATCTGAAAGATTTCCTTAACAAAACCTGCGACATCTTGTCCAGGAAACACAAGTGTTCAACTGGATTTTCACCGCAATCTTCATCATGGAAGCTGCAGTCAAACTCATTGCCCTGCGGCAGTATTATTTCGTGAAGGCCTGGAACATATTTGATTTCGTTATTGTCATCACTTCAATTATTGGTAAGTGTATACAATGGCTGCGCCAACCTCGTCCCCAGGGCCATCTCCGCTTTCATGATGGCGGGAGGGCGCGAAGAAGACCCTGGCGAAGAGCAGGCCACGTGACCACAAAATTAGCCAATCGCGAGCCCACCGCCATTTTGAAACAATCAAAATCTCCAATATTTTTGGAGACACGTGACCTGGTCTTCGCCAGGGTCTTCTTCGCGCCCACCCGCCATCTTGAAAGCGGAGATGGCCCTGGGGACGAGGTTGTGGCTGCGCAACGGTGGAGCCTCGCATTGAAGCAGAGAAAAATGAACCTAAATTGAGTTTAAAAGCAGTCTCTTCGGTGAACACAGATTTTTCCTGCTCCATGAGCCAGTAACTAATTTAAAGACTTATGGCGATTAGCGTTAATTGACTTTCGAACAACCAGGCCATGTAAATGTGAATACAGTCGAACCCCTATTAAGCGGCCACCCCCTATTAAGCGGCCAGCTATCAAAGTCCAAAAACTATCGTCAGTATAATACTGTAAATAAAACCCCTGTTAAGCGCCACCCCTATTAAGCTGCCGCGGCCACCTTTTTGGCCGTCCCGATGAGGGTTCTCCTATTGTTTTTACACAACACGTAGTTTGGCCTTGTTTTGAAAACGCTGATGACAGACAAGAGTCCGAAGTATAACGTGACGACAGATAAAAACATTCAAACATGCGTTTATAATCGTCTTAACGTGATTCCGTTGTCATTAATCTTTTGATTTTTTACCAAGCCTTATGCTAATTTATGACGAACCCTTATTAAGTGACCAACCCCTATTAAGCGGCCACTTACCATTTCCCCGAGGGTAGCCGCTTAATAGGGGTTCGACTGTAGTACTGTTTCAATATGTGGTTAAAAAAAGGTATTTATCCTGTCGAAGGGAGTGTTTCACGGTTCGGCGCATGTGCCGGCTTATCAACTTTATCCGTTTAAAAAATCCCACTCACATATACTTTTCGATACTTCAGTATTAAATCACATACTATAATTAGTCCAAGAAAAACTACGAATGACCAAAATTCACAAACAAAATTCAACGGATTACAGCGAGAATGTCGACATTGAATATCAGAATAAATTACCAGAATAAAACCTTCCGGCCAACACTTTATTCTGGTAATTTATTCTGGTTTTCATTGTCGACATTCTCGGTGTAATCCGTTGAAATGTTTTGTGAATTTTGATCATTCGTCATTCATTGCTTGGACTTATTATAGCATGTAATTACTGAAGTATCGAGGAATACATGTAAGTGTTTTTTTTTAAACGGATAAAGTTGATAAGCCTGAACATGCGCTGAACCGTGAAACACTCCCTTTAAGTGCGTGCTTCATGATTTTTCTACCTTTAATAACAAAGAGCCTCATTTGCACTGCTAACCTCGTTTTCAGGTTTGGTGATGGACGAACTAGGTGACAACAGTATCATGAATCCCGGTCTCCTGCGAGTCTTTCGCGTCGCAAGAGTGGCCAGGTTACTAAGGATCCTGCAGTTTGCAAAAGGAATCCGCCAGCTTCTTGTCGCGCTCATAATTTCGTTACCAGCTCTCATGAACGTGGGCACGCTGCTCTTCTTGGTAATCTTCATATACGCCATCATCGGAATGTCCACCTTTGGTCATGTCAGAAAACAGAAAAACCTGGACGATACAGTGAACTTCGAGACTTTCGGCCGCTCTATGATGCTGTTGTTTCGCTTGTCCACAGGCGCTGGTTGGAATGACATTCTGGAATCCCTCATGCTTCGTGAACCCGATTGCGACCCGACCTACGGGGGATTCCAGAACGGTAACTGCGGGTATCCCGTGGGGGCAGTCATTTACCTCGTATCGTACATCTTCATAGTATTTCTTATCATAGTCAACATGTACATTGCTATTATCCTAGAGAACGTGAATCGAGCTCAAGAGGGAGGGCTCGTCATCACGAAAGATAACCTTGACAGTTACTATCAAAAATGGGCCTCGTTTGTGACGGACGGAAAGCAGTATCTCCTGGTGGATCAGGTCTCGGACTTCGTCCATCTTCTAGACGAGCCTTTCAAGATCGCCAAGCCAAACGAACAAGAACTTGTCCGAATGGGAATCAACGTGCGGATGGGGTATCGAGTGCAGTGCTTCGACCTTCTTCGCTGTCTGGTCAAGCGTCTTTTGGAGAAGAAAGGCGAATCACCGCTTGCCTTTGAGCAAATCGCTTCCAAGCTGGA